AAATTCGCTAATTTTGGTGGGGTTTCTGATGAGATTGATGGGGGATAGTAGGGATTAGGAGGGTATGAGGGTTATAGGGTGCGAGTTTGAGGAGATTTGGAGTGGCGCCGCCGGTGTGGGAATTTTGGGCGGCTAGGGTTCCGAGTGAGTTTGAGAGAGAGAGACAAGGGGTTTGGGGGCGGCTAGGGTTTGGTGAGTGAACGAGAGGGAGAGGAAAATGAAAGGGGTCTGAAGGGTTTTGGGGGAGAGGGGGGCTCCGACAGGTATAAGGGTTAGGGGGGAGTTACGGGCCGTTCGATCAAAGAAAATCAACGGCTGAGATCGTCGTTAATGAAACGACGTCGTTTTGATGAGGCTGGACCTGGTGAGGGGTTTGGGCCTGGGCAACAAATTGATTCGGGGCCTTTAGCATTAGCCCAAATGCAAAGCAGCCTCTTTTTTCTCTTTTTTCTTTTTTGTTTTCTTTCTTTTCTTTGATTTTTTTAAAATCTAAATAAAATTAAAAAAACCTAAATTAAGTCCTAAATCAATCTAATTTGTAGAAATGAACTTAGTTATCTATTTTACCATAATTAATTAATTTAAATTAATGAAAGAAAGATTACTAATTTGCAATTTAAAGCTAAAATATAAAAATGACTCATATTTTTTGTGATTTTCATTTAATAATGCAATTAACTCATGCAATTAAATTCTAAATGCAATTAGTCCTAAGATGTTATGCGCGAAATACTTTAGACATTTTAGTATTTTTCTTATGATTTTAGAATGTTAAATATGCAACTAAATGCAAGCAACTTTTAACTAAAATTCCTACAAATTCTATAAAAACTAAAAACAATTAAGAAAAACTCTATTCGTGAATTTCTATAGGAATATTTTAGTCGGGCAAAAATCACGTGCTCACAACCAAAATGAAGTTGAAAGATACAAGGCTCGCCTTGTCGCACAAGGATTCTCACAACGACCTGGAGTCGATTATGAAGAAACATATTCACCAGTTATGGATGCCACAATATTTCGATATCTCATCAGTTTAGCCTTACGTGAAAGACTTGAAATACATATGATGGATGTGGTTACAACTTATCTATACGGGTCACTTGATAATGAGATTTACATGAAAATTCCTAAAAGATTTAAAATGCCTGAAGCATATTTGAAATCTCGAAAAATGTATTCAATCAGATTACAAAGATTTTTATACGATTTAAAGCAATCTGGGCGCATGTGATATAATCGCCTTAGTGAATATTTGCTGAAAGAGGGTTACATAAATGATGTTACTTGTCCATGTATTTTTATAAAGAAAATGACATCAAAATTTGTTATACTTGCTGTTTATGTTGATGACATAAATCTTGTTGGAACTCGAGAAGAGATCCAAAAGGCAATTGAATATCTTAAGAAAGAATTTGAGATGAAAGATCTTGGAAAAACAAAACTTTGCCTTGGATTGCAAATTGAACATTTAGCAAACATGATCTTTATGCATCAATCTGCCTATACAGAAAGGGTCTTAAAACGCTTTTACATGGACAAAGCGTACCCATTGAGTGCACCAATGGTTGTTCGATCACTTGAAGTGAATAAGAACCCGTTCCGACCTCCAGAAGATGATGAGGAATTCCTTGGTCCTGAAACACCCTATCTCAGTGCAATTGGTGCACTTATGTATCTTGCTAATGCTACAAGGTCTGACATAACATTTTCTGTTAATTTACTAGCAAGATATAGCTCTTCTCCTACTCTGAGACATTGGAATGAGATTAAGCATATTTTGCGATATTTAAAGGGAACTCTTGATATGGGTTTCTTTTATGCTAACAAAGGTAGTGGAGATCTTTTTGGTTATGCAAATGCAGGTTATTTATCTGATCCCCATAAAGCTCGATCTCAAACCGGGTACGTGCTTACATGTGGAGGTACTGTCATATCATGGCGCTCCACAAAGCAGTCAATTGTTACTACGTCTTCAAATCATACTGAGATAATAGCTGATATCCTCACCAAAGGCTTGAGCAGAATGCAGCATGGCTACTTGTTATCCAAGCTAGGGATGGAGAATATCTTCACCTCCTCTAGCTTGAGGGGGTTGTTGAGAGTAGCAGTCGTAATATAAGTGATGTGGTTAGTGGTATAACTTAACTTAACTATAGTTTAGCCAACTGTAGTTAACAGTTAGTTAGAGAAGTTATACGTGTATAAAAGTAAAGATTCCATTGTACAGTGATCAATTAACAGAGATGAAGAATTCCTTTCTTCTCCAATTTTCTCTCCTCTGTTCTTAGCTTCCAAACTCTGTCTCATTCCACAAATTTAATAATAAATTAAAAGAGTGTACAAACAGAAATCGTTTAATTGATAGTATTTGGTAGTAGGAGCTGCACAAAAAAAGAAAGAAAAAGAAGATGGAAAATGGGAAAGTGAAGTCAATAACGTGGTGAATGCTCTTTGGCACATTGCGTTTGTATTGGATTATAATACTCCAATCTAGCAAAAGTATCTTTATTGCGACTTTTTGGTAGTTTTATCCAAATGCATGAGGTTAGTCTAAATAATTTTAATGTGTTGGCCACTTACCTAAAATGCAAAGCAGTGAAACTGCACCCATCAATAATTTAAAAGAGCCTTTTTATATTAATCATCAAGAATGCTAGGCAAAAGTGCCATAACCTAGTAACTCATAGTCCACTTTCTACAGTTCTTGATTTCTTCCTCAATTTTGTTTTTTTTGTTTTTTTTTGATTACCCATATTTCCCTTTTTCTTTTGAATGACTTTTCATCGGGTTATCTTTCATTATCACTTCAAATACTATTTAGCAAGAGATAGAGGATTGCTTGTAAATGTGAAGCAGACTGGGTTTAAACGTGTGCTTTTATTGATTTACTTTCACATGAGACTTTAATTCACGGTTGTTGATCATTAAAACTTTTTAAAAAAAAATAAAATTTAGTGTAGTAATAGTGTGCAGATGTAACATTCATGATTAAGATGATGATAGCGGTGTATCAACAAGGATATGCTGGCAAACTTTCGAAGAAATGCATATGACATTTTTGATAAATCTTACATTATTAAGAAGGGAGAAAGTCATAAAGTGCTACTTATATAAGATGGATCACAAATTTATTGTTATGCATATTTTTTGGCTTTGATGTGGCATAATCTAAGAGACAAGTTTGCAAAATTTACTAAGCTAAAGCAGATAATATTTATTATGAGGCTGGATAAAGACATCAAATCAAATAAATTTTTTGAGGAGGCTTACCAACCAAATCTCAATACATGATTTCTAGAACCTACACGCTAAGCCTATACTTGAATAATACTTTGCACACGTGAGTCAATTAATTTGCTGGGTTGATTCCTCCTAGGGTGTGTTTTCTGAATTTAATTTTAAATTTTGTGTTTAATTGACTTAAATATATTAAAAATGTTATAAAATAAAAACTGTAAAGTAAAGACAAGTATAGAGAGAAACTGATATATTATTCAAACTTCAAACTTATGTACATAATGAACTGAAAACTCCTCAATTTATAGAAGAAAGGAAGCAGCTGCGAGACTTTTCTTTGGCTGCTTGTAAGCTATCTGCATGAGCTGCTTGCAACCTGCCTGTTTAATAAGAAGCTGCTGCAAATCATTTCATTGAGCTGCTTGCAACCTGCCTGCATCAGCTGCTTGTAGATAAACTTCAACAGAGTACTAAATGGATAATCTTCTTCAGGAAGATTATCTATAGTGGAGTAATAAATGAACATCCACAATATAATTATTTTCATAACACTCTCCCTTGGATGTTCATTAAAAGGTATTGTGCCTCGTTAAGACCTTACTAGGAAAAACCCAGTGAAAAAAAATCTAGTGAAGGAAAAAGAGTACACATATTTAGTAATACGCATTTCTAGCTGCCTCATTAAAAACCTTATAAGAAAAACCCTTTGGGAAAAAATATTAGTAAGGAAAAAAAGAGCACATCGCGTATTTTACTCCCCCTGATGAAAACTTTATTTCAAATATTTGAGTCTCCGCATTCCAATCTTGTATACCATCTTCTCAAAAGTTGAAGTTAGCAAAGATTTAGTGAATAAATCTGCCGGATTGTTACTTGAACGGATTTGCTGCACATCAATGTCACCATTTTTCTGAAGATCGTGTGTGTAGAATAATTTTGGTAAAATGTGCTTTGTTCTATCTCCTTTTATAAATCCTCCCTTCAATTGGGCTATGCATGCAATATTGTCTTCATATGGATGCTAGGGATCCAGAACATTCAGCTTTCATCAACACCCCTAGACCAGGACAATGTTTAATATACCTCACAACTCTGAGGGCAGCTTCCATGTGAGATGATTTAGGACTGTGCATCAACTGACTTAAGGTTTGAGCTGCAAATAAGATGTCAGGTCTGGTGATTGTCAAATACAGTAACCTTCCAAGTAACCTTTGGTATGGCCCAGGATCGTCTAGTAGAGTGTCATCAGTTGTATAACCTATGTGTGTATCAAACTCCAATGTGGTCAGCTTGGCATTCAACTCCAAGTGTGAAGTAACAGGTTTACAATCTGATAGACCGAAATCAGCAATCAACTCCAAGCTACATTTCCTCTGATGCATCAAGATACCCTCTTTACTTCTGGCAAATTCAATTCCTAGAAAATATTTTAGCTCTCCCAAATCTTTAATCTTGAAGCTATCTTGCAACTGTGATTTGGTCTCTTGTATTAGCTGTAGATTATCTCCAGTGATAATGAGATCATCTACATATACAAGTACCACTACCAACTGCCCTGAAGTTCTTTTGTGAACAAGGAGTAATCTAGGTGACTCTGTTGGAATCCTGAGGCAAGGAGTGTTGTAGTAAGTTTGATATTCCATTGTCGAGATGCTTGCTTAAGTCCATAGAGAGACTTATGCAATTTGCATACCAATGACTTGTTGTTAGAGCCTACAAAGCCAGGTGGAATGCACATGAACACTTCTTCAGTTAAATTCATGGTGAGGCAGAAAGTCTGTGATGTTAAGGATCCGCTACTCTGTTTCTCCGTCCTCTCGTTGTTGCTCTCCAAATTCTCTGTATCTCTATTTCGTTCCTCCGTTCTCTTTTCGCGTATGTGTGTCTGTTGGGTGGTGTTAAAGTGTACAGGAATTAGGTTTAATTTAGGGATTATAAAAGGGTTGTGGGTTAGGGAATGGGTAAATGGGCTGAGGGGAGGAGTGGGCTCAGGTCCGAAAATGGGCTTCACCAATAAATTATTTTGCCCAAATTCAATTCTTTCTCGTTGAATTAATTAATCTTAGTTAATAAGAATAAACTATTTTTATGTTTTTAAACTTATGTTTTAAAAATAAAAATAAAAGTTGATGGAAAATCCTATAAAAATAAAAATAAGTAAATATTTTTGAAATACTACTTTTAAAAGTTGCGCGGGTCAAAAATTACGTGCTTAAAACAGCCTTCCCTATCTCGTCTAAGGATCATAGGATGCTTGTGCTTTGCTTCCTTACTACCTAAAACTGACAAGTTTGGACCTCGAGCTGTGAAATGTGTGTTTTTGGGATATGCAGCACTTCAGAAGGGATACAAGCTACTTGATCTTGAGCACAATGTGTTTTTTATCAGCAGAGATGTAACCTTCTTTGATGTAGCATTTCCTTTTCAGAATCCAGAGGTGGGGGCTGACAAATTTTTCTAGATAATCTAGATATGAGAGCATTCCATGATCATCATAATGCAGATCATGAGAATTACATTCCTCCTGCATCAGCTCATGCTGTTGAATAATTCTCAGATTCATCCATTGTCTCTTCTTCATAGAATTCACCAATGCTTAATTCAAACCAGGGGCATTCACAGTCTCTTCTAATTCCTGTATCAACTAAAACTCCTGAACTACATGTATCACATGTTGATTATGTTAGAAGATCAAGTACTGAACTACATGTACCACCTGTTGATGATGTTAGAAGATCAAGTAGGACTTCTAGGCCTCCCATCTGGCTTAAGAATTATGTCAGAGCTGACAAAGCTACACAAAGCAATAGTTGCAGATATCCAATAGCTGCTGTCATAGGCTATGATCAATTGTCTCCCAAGTATCAAAGCTACTTATCTCAAATCTCATCTGAACAAGAACCCAACCGCTACTATGAGGCTGCAAAAGATAAAAGGTGGATTGAGGCTATGCAGGCAGAAATAAATGCATTGGAGGATAACAAAACTTGGGAGATAGTACCATTACCCCCAAGAAAAAGGGCTATAGAGTGCAAATGGGTGTACAAAATTAAGTACAAGGCAACTGGAGAGGTTGAAAGATTCAAGTCACGACTTGTGGCCAGAGGATAGAATCAGAAGGAAGGATTGGATTACCAAGAAATATTTTTGCAGTAGTGAAAGATGGTAACTGTCAGACATGTCTTCTCTCCTCAATCCAATTTCTCCGTGAAAGCTCACTATTACACAAACACCAACAACTGGTCTCCATACCTGCAAAAATACAGTTGAAATTTCCCCCAAAACCAGCTGCAAAAGCACCTCAAAATCAGACCCAAACCCATATTAAAATCACCTCAAAATAGTCCATCGAACACCACCTAAAACCCCCAGCAAAGATCAACGCCAAACACCTCCGTGTTCCTTCGACAAACAGTCGCAAACAACTCATCTTTTAGCTTCTCCGCTGCATAGTTTCGAGTTTACCAGCGAGTTTTTCCGGTTGAGGTTTCTGATTGGCTGCTTGAGTCTTTGGTCCTTGGTTTGAAAGTCCCTCAAGTTGGTTCGTATTGTCGTCGAGGAATCGAAATCGAGGTTCTTTTCCTCCCTTTTGTGTTCTTAAGTTTCTGCAAATATTCATGACAATTGGTTTTTGATGAGTTTAATGCAATTTTGATGTCTTTGCCTTATATGATTGATCCATGGATTCTTTACTATGACTCACTCGCTAAGACCCTTTCTAATCTTGAATATCCATTAGAAAAATTAGTTGATCCATATTATTTTGAGGCCCGACGACTAATGAGTAAATTTGATGTAAAAGGCTAAGTTGGACGAGGTGCTATGTTATTCTACTTCTAGTTTTATCTTGTTATCTTTGTTTATTTATAAATTACTTTTGTCTCGTTTTTGTTAGTCATGAGTATTACATAATTTGATCTCAATTTTGAAGTGTTGATCGATAGTGTTAGAAACGTAAAGTTTGGATCCTCAAGTTATTTAGGACATTGGTTGTTGCTGGACACTTAAAGAATGAAATAAAACTTGGGTCTAAGGTTGAAAAAATGAAGTCGGACTCGATTTTGGGGTTTAAAATGATTTGCACTCTCTGAGCCCTTTAGAAAATACTTCTCATCCATACTTTATATTCTTATCCTTACCAAGATAATCCACATAAAGAGTCATTAAATAAAGCAGTTAAACTATACCATGTCCTACAATAATTTTATATCCATACCTCATGGCCTTGCAATAATCCTAAACTTAGGAAATAAGTAATTCACATCGTTAGTATGCTTCTAGGTATGCTCTGAATCAAATTATCGTGATTATGTATACGTTTGCGTGATATAATTGCGATTTCCAAAATAAATCAAGGTGCGCGTTCGCGCGACTTTGACAAAACAACCTTAATAATAATGAAGTGTTGTGATTTGTGTATACGTACGCGTGACATGATTCTTGACCCGCCAAACAAAAAGAGTACACGTACGCGTGACTCGTTTCAAGATAATTCCATAATCATGAATAATCAAGCAATTAAAAGCGATAAAAGGTAAAACGCACATAGGTTCTAAAAATACGTAATTCAACAAATAATTAAGCCAGGTATATGATTGTAAAGCGACCATGCTAAAACCACGGAAACTGGGAGTGCCTCGCACCTTCTCCCGGGTTAACAGAATTCCTTATCCGGTCTTCTGGTTTCGCAAACTTTAGAACATAGTCAAATTTCCTCGATTTGGGATTTAAAATAAACCGGTGACTTGGGACACCATAAATTATTCCAAGTGGCGACTCTGAAATTGAATAAATAATCTCATTTCGATTAATGTCACTTTAATTGAAAAAACTCCCCTATCCCCTCGGGAAAAAGGAGGTGTGATAGTTGTTTGTGATACGACAACTCAAAGGGTGATTTGTTTTTTGCCAAGGACAGTGGATGGGACTCTATTTATAAGATATACAGCTGTCTCAATACAATCTCCCCAAAATCTAGCTAGTACATGACCTTGGAATCTGATAGCCCTTGCAATTTCTAAAATATGTCTATGTCTTCTATCTACTACCCATTTTTGTTGGGTGTGTAAGGGCATGAAATTTGATGTAAGATCCCATGTAACTGAAACAGTTCTCTACAATGAGTATTGAAAAATTCACTTTCATTATCTGACCTAAACATCTTGACAGACTTGCCAAATTGAGTTTTAATCATAGTAAGAAAGTTTTTAAGGATGAAAACTACATCAGATTTCAGTCTCAACAGAAAAGTCCAAGTCCATCTAGTGTAGTCATCCACTAATGTAAGAAAAAGCTTTATTCCATTATAGGTAGCAATCTTGTATGGTCCCCAAACATCCATGTGAATTAGTTGAAAAGTTTCAACACTTCTAGTAGTACTTATTGGAAATGATATTCTAGTTTGCCTTGCCAAGGGGTAAATCTCACATCTATGAGCATTATTAAAGTCTATACTATTTCTGAAACATTGTAATTTCCTAAAAACTAGCAGATGTACATGACCCATTCTCTTGTGCCATATATCTGGATCTTCTTGTTTGATAACTGCAAAAGCTTTGGAAGAATGCAACCTATTGTGTGACTCCACTGAGGTCATGGTGTACAACCCATCTTCCTCCGACCAATCTCCTTCACCCTCCCAGACAATAGTTCCTGAAATACGCAAAATGTAGGAAAGAATGAAGCAAAGCAGTTCAGGTCTTTTGTCACCTTGGAGACAGACAACAGATTGAACTTGAAGGCAAGAACACATAGAAAATTCTTAATAGTGTCACCTCCTAACAATTGACAATCCCCTATGTGAGTAATTTTGGCAGAATCCCCTGTTGGCAGCTGAACTTGACCTGCATTTTCTGTTTGTGTTCCATGGTGCAATAAATCTTTATTTCCTATCATGTGGTTTATAGCTCGTGTGTCCACAATCCACTTAAGAATACTAATATTGTTGTAAAGAAAAGTACCTGCCATTGCTGCCATAGTGCCACTTGATTCACCAATTAAGCTTTTGTTCAATAGCTGCAGGATCTGAGAGTATTGTTCATTTGTGAACATGTGTGTTGGAACTCCTTTGTTTGCTTCCTGTGAGACATTATTTTCTATCTACGCTACATTAGCTCTTCTCTTAGGCATAAAATCATATGGATAGCCTACTATTTTGTAGCAATTCTCCTTTGAATGACTTGGTTTGTTACAGAATTCACACTTCATCAACCTATAGCAGCTTGCCTTTGTATGCCCCTTCTAGTGACAGTACTCACATTCTACGCCAAAATTCTTCCTTGGCTTATTCCCTGACTGTGTGGTGAACATGGCAGTGGGCTCAACCTGTCCTCTGTGTGTTGAAGTGGTTACCTGAGATTATTCTTCTGCTTTTATCTTGAACTATCATAGCATATGCTTGATTAATGGAAGGGACATTAGGCATCATCAAAATCTGACTTCTAGCTTGCTCAAAATCGTCGTTCAACCCCATTAAGAACTGCAGTAACCTCTGAAATTCCAACTATTTAACATAATCCTTAACAGGATGTGGTGGTAATATAGCATCATACTCAGCCCATAGGTCAGTTAATTTTGTAAAATAGACGAAAATATACGATATCCCCTGTGTAGAAGTGAAAATTTCTTTGTGCGGGTAATAAAACCTCGAAGCATTTACTTTGTCAAATCGTTCCTTAAGTTGTGCCCAAACAGTTTGAGCATTTTCTGAGAACAGAACACCGGTAAGGAGGCGTGAATTAACGTTACTCATCAGCAACGAAGTAACAATGGCTTTGCAACGATCCCACTGGTGAGCTAATCCTGGTCCAAAATCACTTTTCGAGGTAGTACCGTCTACCAAACAGAGTTTATTCTTTCCTAGAAGACCTACTTTCATAGCTCGATTCCACAATGTGTAGTTTTCCATTCCAGTTAATAATAAACCAATCGACAACGAACCTGGTCCATCAGATGGATGCAAGTAGAGTGGGTGATTATGGTCGAGAATAGTTCCAGTCGGTGTTGCTGCGGTGGTGCTATCACCGAAATTGTCATCGATCGCCATGGAATTGAAGCAATTACGCAGTTACGCAATTGAAGCAAAAATTAGGGTTCCGATCACAAAATCGTCGTTCCCGATTTTGAAAGAAATTGAAGAAATTTAAGAAAATTAAAGCTGATTCTCTCGATTTGCTTCGTCTTTGCAAAGAAATCCCTAGAATCGCTTAGTAATCCGCTCTGATACCATGTTAAATTTGTGGAATGAGACAGAGTTTGGGAGCTAAGAACAGAGAAGAGAAAATTGGGGAAGAAAGGAATTTCATTTCTATTAATTGATCATTGTACAATGGAATGTCTACTTTTATATACGTATAACTTTTCTAACTAACTGCTAACTATAATTGTATGGTTAAGCTAAACACGTTCGTCGCTTACCAATGTTGAAATATTTGCAATTTATTTACTCGAAAATGTATGTTACAAACACAAAAGGTTAAAAGAACAAATAATTTAACGCGTTGGATTGATGGTCAATTTTAAAAGTATTTATTAAAAGGTCTTTAGGAAAATGATGATCGAATGTAGTTGGATGTTCTTAACACACAAACTCATTAATTCTTCTAGAAGTGTTGAAAATATGAGTTGATTAATACTTGATGGAGGAAGATCCCTAGTTTATCTTCTTTGCTTTTGTTGCCAAAATTAAGTTTTTCAAATTCAGCGTCTTCCCCTTGTTCCTGAGGAGTAATGAAAATAATTAACCCTCTGCTATGGTGTGAATCTATTTTATTTTTGTTATCACATTATTTTGATTTGCTCTGATTATTTAAAATCCAGACGAACACTTTCCTTAATTCCTTTTTCTTTTGTTAATTGTGTTTATTCAAAAAGAAAGGAATCTTAAGAGTTGCTTTATTGTTTTATGCCTTTGTTTATTCAACCAGGACAGAATCTGTTTTCTGTCTCGAATCTCTGCTTTATCATATAAGTTTGTTTAATTTGGCACCCAATCCTTTCTTTACTGGACTTATAATAAGATATGTTGTCCCAAGAATATTTGGAAGTTCCATGCAAGTGTGAACAAATGGCCATTGAACTTTGTACATTTGCAGAATAAATAGATAAAGGCT